GCCTGCAGGGAAGAGAGCAGGCTGCAGCTTTCCCACTTACCGATTCTGAATGCCACTTCGATCCAGTTTTGCACCAAAAAAGATGGCACCCACAACCAGAGCTAGAATTATGGTCACTGCAATCTAGAAGTGGAAAGAAAAAAAAATAGAGAAGGGAATGCTTCAAAAGGGTGAATAAGGACAAGTCATTAGACAGCATTCAGCCACTGAGGTACATGCAGGGTTTCAGATCTGCCTAAAAACCTTTGCTATTGAGACTCAAGCCACAGAATTAACATCACCCTGGAAACTCCACATATGAACTCAAGGATAGAGCATTTCCCTTGAATCTCCAGTGTTCAGTACAGAGACTAAAGAACTAAGAACAATCTGTAACCTTTACTAACTGTTACCTACCTGTGCAATAGAGGCCTGCGGGTTCCTGATGAGGTTTTTCAGTGAGCGCTTGGACACCCAGTACAGCTGGGTGAGGAAGCCATTCGCATAGGTAATCTCATGTCCCTTCTTGGATCTCCCCTGCTTGCTTTCCTGCCCAAGCTCCACTTTCCTCAATGCTTCCCTTGTGCTCTGATACAGACTGGAGTTGAGGTACTTCTGGTGCAGCTCATCCACCACACTGCTGTCTGTGTTCTCCTCTGCCACTCCATTTTCGCCACTCACCTCTGTTCAGCAAAGACAACATAAGGCTTGTAATTCCCCAGGTACCTTACCTTCAGACAAGGGTCAGCTATGGAGACTGGATAAAATAGCAGGGATGCTTAGAGTATTTGATTGCTCAAAACTCAGGCCTGCACTCAGGAGGCTAGCTTGGGTGAGGGGATTTCTCTACAATTTTAATCCAACCTATTTGCTGCTTATGGCACAAACATCCCTCCATTTCAGAAACAGCCATCAGAAAAAAAATTCCCTGTGCACCAAAGGCACCACTAGCAAAGTTGTTTATCAGGTGTCTAACGCATTCTTATCCTTCAGTCATGGTTATAATTCAGCATCTCCAGTGTTTCCAATATTTCACTCAGTATAGTATTAGAGTTTGTTCTCATATCCAGTTCCAGTGTTGCTCACTGCTATGTAAATCCATTGTTCCTTGGCCAATCTACCCTGTCTTCTCTGCAGCAGTCACTTACGTGACTGAAAATTTCTGTCTTCTGTCAGCTGCCCCTTGCATCTAAGCAATTCTAGTTCTTCAGTCCTTCCCATGTGCCTTGCTTTGTGCAGTACTAATACTTCTCAATGTGTTCTCATATTATTGAAGGAAACAAAATCCCCTTTAAAGGGTATCTATCAGAAGGGAAAGTATATTGAAAGGGAAACCTCAGATTACAAGAAAAAAATAGAGAAGCTTATTATCACCACATGCTGTTTCCCTTCTACTCCAAACAGTGGATTTCTGCCTTACAATTTTACCTTTTTTTGTGTCCACAGGTCTATGATCTTCCTTGCTTGCTGCCACAGCAGTTGAATCACCATTTATGACATCAAGGAAGAAGTCAGCTGGGTTGTTGAAGGGTTCACATTCATATCCTTTCAAAAGAGCAACCACAGCCTGTTTGTATTGCAGAGAACTCATCTTGGAAGGCCAGGCCTAAATACTACATCACTTTTCCACACCCCCTACAACAACATTACAGCTCTCTATGAACAGTTAGCATTAGTTACAGAAGACTTACCAATAGAATGAAAGTATTCCAGGGCCTTCTTAGCAGGTCCATGGTACAGCACCTTTCCCAACGCAAGTAATGTTAGACTGTCAAATAGCTTGAATATGGAATAACGAGGCTGGTGGATGGAAAAAATTATGGTTCGGCCTCTTCTGGAGAGCCTGAAATAGAAACAAAATCTCTCTCAAAACAAAATACAGTTTGCATTTTGGAAAGAGCATGTTGACTCAAAAATGAATCCTCCAAATCTGAAACAAGCGTTTATTAGATAAGAGTCTCAGCTCAGTAAAACAGTAGTTTCATTTTCTCTCTTGCTGTGTCACACACTGCAAGACCTTCAGGCAGCATGCATGATCACAAATATGACCACAACTATTATAACTGTTGTTGCAGTTCAGGTAGTCAACATATGATGTCGCCTCTGAGCAAAGGTTTAGGACCACAGCTACTGCATACTCATCAGGCATTTTTTATTATCAGGGTTCAACTTAAACCATCCAAATGGTCCTATGGCACTAAATGACATTTCCAGACACTTCTAGGTAAGCAACCTGGAAGTTTTTTCTTAGCTTTTGTGCTGAGCAATGTTCAGTAGAGAAGCATACTCCCTAGAGAAGTCAAAACTATTTTCCTTCAGGTTTCTTTTCAAATGCTTTAGCTCTGATACCCAAATATCCTTGCTGATCAAAGACCTCTACCAACAAATAACAGAGCTAAATATCCCCTCAGATAAACCAGACATCATGACAAACAGAGGAAGAGGATTAGGGGCATGTTCTCATGAAGTGAGCCTTGTTTGGTCCTGTTTATACCACAGGCTAGTTTGTTTCCAAAGCAGATTTAGTGGGTGCTTAGAGTAAATTTACAGATGAAATCTGATCTCAGCCCCAGGCCCTTGTGGAAGGAGAGCTTTTGTAATAGACTCAGCTGGAAGGTCAAGAAACTATGATTATGGGGCCTGACCCTCCAGCCCATTCCTCTGTGGCAAAGGGAAGCTGTCCAAGCTACATCTGCCTTTTGGGCTTCAGTCCAACGCTTGCTGTGGAAAGTTTCCCATCAACTTCAAAGGGCTTCAAACAAGACCCAGATAAAGAATTAGCTTCCACTTCTGAGTCTACTATTCCAGCTTTCTACCCCCTCTGTAGCCACTCAGTCATAGCGGTATTCCCTTTTTAAAAAATAAGCTGGCCAAAAAAAAAAAATCCCAGGAAACACCCCCAAAGCTCGTACTTCTTCAAAAGGATGAGCACAGCATTGGCTGTGCTGGCGTCAAGGCCAGTTGTTGGCTCATCTAGAAAAAGGACTGGCGGCTCTGTGATGAGCTCCATCCCAATGTTGGTTCTCTTCCGCTCCCCTCCAGACACTCCCCGGATCAATTCGGTTCCTACCTGTGGAAAGAAGTGTCAGGCATTTGCAACAAGACTCCACCAGCACCTAGTGTGGAGTTCAGGGCTCACCACACCCAGGAACCCTTTTCATTCTCAGAGTACCATCAGTAAACGCTAGAGCTAGCGGCAGATGATGGATCTGACTCTTAAAGGGTGGGTATTATGTAGCAATAAGAAGATAATCTTATTTTCAGAGGTGCCAACACCTTTTATCTTCAGGGAACAAAGATGGCACTGACAAGGAAGAGCCCGAATGAGGCCACAGCTGTCAGAGCTTTGGTGTTCAGGGATGCCTTTCACAGGTAGCTCGCCTGCTGCCCAAGTGAAAGTGGAGACACTGCCCCTGCACAAAACAGCTCCACCACAGCCAGTTTTCCATCCCTCAGTTTTTGCCACTGCAAAAACAATTTCCTTGTCCCACAAAGTCAGGAAGTGACTGAGCAGCTTTCGAAGGTGTTATGGCTAGGCAACTTTTCCCCTCTGCATTTATACAATACTTGGACATGGTCCAAGATCTTCCCCTCTAAGCTGTCTCTAAAGCGGACTGATTTCCTATGTGCAATACAATTTAGCCAGGTTGATGCTTAGCCAAGGGTGGCTACAAGCTTGCCAGACTACCCAGCACTGAATCGTTTGTTTTCCAGAGATAAGAATTTCTAGGACTGCTATTCTCTCTGCTCACCTTTGCATCAGCCACTTTGCTTAACCCCAGCTCACTGATTATCTGGGTGACTCGCTCTTCCTTTTCTTCAGTGGAGATGGAGCTGGGCAATCGCAGGGCAGCAGAGAAGTGCAGATTCTCTCTCACTGTCATTGTGCCCATGACAACATCATCCTGAAAGCAACACAAAGTGACAGTTGGAAAGTCTCATTCCCAGCTACCTGACAGGGCACCAGAACCTCTGTAATGGCAGTTGCTGGATAAAATGTTTGGGAGCCATAGTGGAAACTAGATAGAATGATAATCCCTACTTGAAAACTTATAGGACATCATGTGAAGTTCAAGGTTGTACAACAGGAGTCAAGGATAGACTTGAGCTTTCTGGGCTCCCAGATTTCACTGAGCACCAGCCATTACCAACTCAACCTGCTTCCTGGATCAGGAGTTTGAATGCAGAGGAGTTGTACAGGTAGTTCATTTTCCATACAAGCCATGGTGCAACAGTTGGCTGGTTTTGGAAAGAGCTGTGCTGCCAGTCTATCTGAGGTCAATGGACACTGCTACAGCTCAGCACCCAGGGCAGCCAGTAAGTCACCCAAATCAGCTCAGTTCCCATTTACAAGCTACACTGTGCTGTGCCACAGAGCATTCACTGAGTTCAGCTGCAATTCCAGGGAGGCCTCCCCAGCTCCGCAGAGGTAGCTGGGCAGCTTTCGGAGCCCTTCCACATCAGATACAGTTGATCAGCTGGGCTGATTTGGCTGGGCTTTGTATTTGGCCCATTTGGTCCTGGAGTAAACAGGGAACCTTGATGTGCTGCTGTGCTAGAGGTATGTGACAGGCAACACTCAGGTTGTAGTTTTATTAAAAACCGGCTTCGGTGTCAAAGCTGGTTTAGGAAAATTCTACCACCATTTCCCTGCCTGTGCACACCCTCAATCTCTTCCCAGCCCTTCCTGCATTTCTCACCCTCAGATCCACCAATACAACTCATTGACACTGCACTGGAAGCTCAGCTGGGAATCTCTTAAGCCACCTTAACAACCAAACCTAATAAACAGTGGAATGACACCCTCACTTGCAGGGTATGAATGGAGAGACCACTGCGAGTTATATAGGAGTGCAAATGGCTTTGCACGTCTGCATGCTCTCCTGTGCAAAACTCACCTTATATCTGTGCAATACTTTTAGCCATTAAGTGTTTGTTTTCACTACTTGGGCAATCTTTCTCAATCTAGAAAGTAGTGCTTGGGAGTGGAAAGGAGAAGAGTTTAATGTTTTGCCTATTTGCATACCATTTCATGGTTAAGTTTGGTTGCTTTGTTAATTTGGAGCAATGTCTCAGACTGGACTCCCTTGCAAGAGTCTTTCTAGCCATTTATAAGACACTGAGGACTTGGGAGATTTTGAACTGGAAGATCAAGATTCAGCATCAGTCTTTTCAAATGCATCCTCTGAAAGCCCTGCAACTAGCAGCTTTCAGAAAAAGCTCCATATTCAGTGTCTGTCTGCAATCAGAAGTCCTGGATAGCTTCCAGATGTGGCTGCTCATACAGCTGCCAAGAATCCCCTCCTTTTCAGCTCCCCCAGCACTTCAAGGATCTATAATTGGTCCAGGCCTCCACCCACTTCCCCAGATTCAGCTGCCTTTTCCTGTCTCACACTGGGATGAAGCTCTGCCTAGCCTGCCAGAATCAGAGGAAGAACAGCAGGAGTCTATTTACTTCCTCAAATTATTTTCCAATAGTTTGAAGGTATTTCTTGCCAATTAAAACTATTTCTGAATTTTAGAGCTTGGTGCTCCCCCTTCCATACACTCCCCCCAACCTCCCAACCCTGACAAAGCCCAAAGAACAAGCCAAAACAGCCCAGTAGTTAGAGCATCCATGTGGCCTCAGGAAGACAAACACCGCCATGCTTGTCTAGAAGAGCTTGATCCTCTGTTTTCTCAGGAAAAGACCCTAACATCTAAGTTATCACGTTAGTTCTGTAAGGCTTACTGAACATTTCCTAACTCAAGATCAAGAGGTTAGGTTTGCTCATCCTGTGTGACAGAGCTTTACATTTTTTTTCCAAGCTATTTGCACTCCATCCCCGTCTCACCCTGCTCTCCCCCATCCCCATTTTATTTGCTCACAAGGGAAAACCCTGGAATCTGTCATTCACAAAGTGTGCACCATGTGCATTCACAAAGTTCCCTCTAATGTACCACCTCTCACTTCTGCAGGACACCTTTCGAAGGCTTTACACTACAGAATGCTCTTGGTCTATAGTCCTCCCTTGCAAGGGCTCCCGGGCCCCCACTGGAGGCTCGGTTGCTCACCTGCACAACATATCCTGAGATGCACTTGAAGTTTGGAGGTTGTGGGATGCCATCTATAAGCACTTCTCCAGATAGGCCTGCTGGGTCCTTCCTGGCAGCCAGCACATCTAGGAGACTTCAGATAAACACCAGACATTAGATTTTGCCATAATAAACTGCTATAATTGTTGACTGAAAAAATACCACAAGTCAGATCTGTTGTTACAGCCTGCTAGCAGCATGCTGCAAAACAAACAAAGATCATGGGAAGAGGTTTCTTCTGCTCCAGGGCTTTAACTGTTTGTGCAGAAAGACTGGTGAAGACGCAGGATTTAAGTGCAAATTGTTCACCAGCAGTCTGAGTGATCTACAGACCCTCACAATTCACAGCAGTCACAACCCACTAGAGATGTTAACTGTCACCCCAATAACAACTAACCTCAAGTGAAAACACACACCAAAGCACCCTGCCAAGCAGCTGGAGCCTGCTCTGCAGCCAGTAGAGCGCAAAAGTAACGGCTTTGATCTCGAGGCAATTAATCCAAATAGGTATAAGCAAGACTACTGTTCAGACCAACCATGTAAAAGCAATTTTAACATATCTCTGAGCTCTCCTTACAGCAGATGCAGAGATCGGCCTGTCTGCTAGTTAGGTAAACACTGCCTTGAGACTCTGCTTTTGAAAATATCCTGATTAACTGACAATGTCCTAAAAAGGGATGCTTGGGGTCACCATGAAGACACACCTGTGTGAACTATAGTCATCTTTCTGTCCCTTAAAGGTGGAGAGGAAATAGCATAGGAGAGAATCTGCAAGATACTTCTCTGTGCTTTCATCCAAAGAAATCAAAATATTTGCCCTACCCTTTGTGATGCCACAGACAGATTGCGGTGATGATCCAAAGTAGCTGCTCTACAGAAAGACATTTTGCCATTTTTCTGGTAGTCCTCAAAAGGGAGGGCACAGCCCGGCATCTCCAAAGGCTGCAGCAACTTGGCACAAGACCATGTCCCTCCTCCCAGCAGGACAGAGTATCCACCCGCATTCATGGTCACCCCAGTTCAGCTGGGTATCTCAGCTCAGGCCACAGAGGTAGCCTACAGAACCACAGAGGTCAGAAGGTGGGGACACCATTGGCAGCAACACTGCAGGAGAGGACCCTCCAGCAGTGCAGGATGGAGAAGGACACGATGCCACAACCACTTCATGGGACTTCTCACATGCACACACCAAAGACCCAAGCCTGAGATTTCTCAGGTCTTCTCCAGCCCTCACAGATTCCCCCATCCCCTTCAAGCAGATGACTCTGGAAGAAGGGAAGAAAATACTCACGAAGATTTACCACTGCCTGTTGGCCCCAGGATAGCATTCAAGCCTGGCTTCATGATGCCACTGGAAGAAAAAGGAAAGGATTGTTCCCAAATGGGGGCCTGTTCATATGAAATTCATGGGATGTGAACAAAATGCTATTGAAAGGAAAACTTGAGATTAAAAATTTCTCCTTAAATCTCAAATCAATAATCACTTTTCCTTTCTTGTCCCAGACAGACAGTCAGGCCAGAATCAGCGCTGGACATAAAAACAGTCTAGAGCAGGCAGAAATTAAGGTGTCTTCCCTGCTGAGCTGGGTCTAGAAAGAAGAAATAACTGTTTTCTGCTGCTCTTTTTCCTCCCAGTCCAGCTTCAAACATACCCTCAGATCTTCTTCCACATGAGCTTTGGTCCTAATTTGCAGAGATATTTAACTGAAACTGCTCCAGCTAAATCCCAGCTATTTCACTGCAGTGAATTAGGAGGTGATCACATGAACTGCAAACTGGCAGGAGGGCAGTCACTTCCTTGCCAGCACACCTGAATCTGGCAGATGACATGAATGTCACAATTCCACGGCAACAGGTCAGTTCCTGCCCCTCCAAAACTTTCTTTAAACAAAGAAAAACACTTACTAGACATTATGAAGGATCTTCTTTTGTACAGTTTTCTGTTTACACAGGAATCCACTGGACTGCTTGACAGAGTACTGGATGTTATGGAAACTCACAACAGAGCCCCGTGGGGATCGGATGGATTCTCGTGTTGGGAACGAACGCTGGAAGCTGCCTGTTCCTTCCTCTTCTCCAACAGGAAGGACGCTGTGGTCAGACCTGTCTGCCATCATGTTCTTGTTACACAGGTCAAGCTCCACTACAGGTAGTTTGAGGTCACTGTTATTTTGGGCAGTTCCCATGTGTGGGGGCAAACCCTGCAAAAACATGGAAGGAAGGAGATCTGGGTGAAGAAGCATGCAGAACATTGCTTGGAAAAAGCAAGATCCCACATACCACCCTCTGCATGGGCCAGGTTTGAGGAAGGATGGATATCCACACTAGAAAGCAGTCAGTAATCCTCAGGGAGGCAGAAAACCTCTGATTTAGTGGGGTGAGTGGGTTTAAATGCATAGCCTGTTTTAAGAACCAGCATGGATGTGCTTGAAGAGGTGATACTAGCTCAGAGGATTTCTTTCGAGATGAAAACCCAGCCCGCATGTGGCAGTCGGCATCTTTATTGACATAGTGGAGCTACAGACACAGGTTGCTACCACTCAAGCTACAGAGACTCAGTTTCCCTTCCTCCAGGTGCAGCACCCCTCTGCAAAGCCAAGCAAGCAAACCATTAACAAACCTGTATGAAGGATCCCAGAAAGACTATTGGATACACACATAAGTTTGAAAAATGCGGTGATTTTTACTGCTTAAATAAGATAAAAAATAGTTGGAGGAAAAGGGTTGTTTCTCTAACTTGGGTGCATCCTGAACTCCAAGGCTGGTCACCCCTGGGAAAGCCTTACCCGTGGGAAGCAAGGAAAGATCTACTAGTTACATCAGCAACAGAAGGTCTGAAAAGTTGCACAACACATGCAGGGGAAAAAAGGCAGGGTGACCATGATGTTAAATGAAAATACCTGCTTAGACTTCTGAATCCTTGGCTGTCTTGTGCCTTAGGTGTTCTGGACAGCCATGTACTTATCTGAACAATAGCAGCATAAGCAATTTTTTTTTTTTTGGG